TTTTTATTTCACTAGTAAAAAGGTTTTCCAATTCGTTACTTTTTGAGTACCGTGCTGGCAATGTTACTTTGGGGTCGGCATTTACATGTGTGGAAGTAAATCGCATAGGGATCTTATTAAGTCGGAGTGAGAGAAATGCGACCGACAGACGCGACGCGCGATGGTGTGCTGTTGCGGCGTTGCCGATACGCCTTTCCCTATAAAGTAAAGTAAAATCACAATCGCAAACAGCTTATTTTTAAAAGACTTTTTTTTCAAGAGATAACTAGATAAAATCATTAGACATGTGTCTGAGCATCTGAAATGGAATTATAAGGTTATCGTTAGGGTGTCATTTTTTTATAACGAGAAAACGTCAGTAATTGCGATGATTTAAAAACTCAACTTTTTAATACATAACAGGCCATAACTCAAGAACCACTTTAGATATTGAAACTTTTTTTTATTTTCAAAATCGGATATTTTACAATATATTTACATAAGAAAAATTCGATAAGGGTGTTTTTTCCATTCAAAAATTGTAGACAATCCATCCATTTACTTTTAGAGTATAGCAATTTTCAGCAATCGTGTAATTTTTTCATTGATAAAGATTTTCATATACTGTCTACAAAGAAAATACAGCAGAAATATTAACAAAGTTCTTGAAAAAACTACAATCTATTATTTTTAATAGATTTCGAGATATCGATTTTTGAATAATGATTTTTGAATATTGATTTTTGAGTTCTAATGGCGCGACCACTATCGAACACCCACTCAATTCCACTTATTTTTACCAAAAATGCAAGTGCTTCTAGCTTGCACTTAAAAAAATTCAAGCTATAGGGAAAATTACGACTCGTTAATAAATAAACAAGTATCACGAGACGTAATTAAATCGTGAAGCTGAACGCATGACGTACACCTTTCCCTAGAACTTTAAGTACTGACAGAGGTATTGATTGGGTTGACCGGTCAACTGCGACAAATCTGCTATATCCCCTTCCACGTCTCTTAGCGATGTGCACAGTTTCTCGGTTCATTTCATACGTTTGGCAACGTGTTTACTGTCCTCTCTTTGTTCAGTACATTATAAACGCATTGTACTCTTCTTACATACGGAAATCTCGACCCAAGACTAACCTTTGCCAGCCCTTAATATACATGTTCCTATACCTAAAATAAATCGTTTTTAAGTTATTTAAGATTTAGTTTGAAAACGTATATTTTTCTTGATTTTATCTAGCTTCCTTTGGGATTAAGTGTCAGTCAGACAGTTTATGTATTTCCATCTGTCAGAGAACAAATTATTTGAATTTTCTATATTATAAATACTGCCTGCCTAAGAGTTTAAAAAGTGTGTTTATAAAAATATCTCTTATTTTCGCTATTTAGTGATATCTAATAGCCTTGTTTATATATTCTTAAAGTTGGTCAACCTCTCGACAAAATGTGCTGCCTCTGGCGAACAAATCGCAAAGCTTTAAAAGAATGAAGCATGTGATTAGGGGCGGAGTCAAAAATATCGATTATTTGCGGTATTTCCCTCAGAGTAATGTAATAATATAGCTCGGATTTTTGCGAACTATAATAGGACTCAGCTGATTAAGAAATTTAAACAAAACTATTATTTGAAAACTATACGTTGATCTTCGATTATTTTTACTGTTATTTTAAGGATTCTAAACCGCATTTAACAAAGAAATAACAATTTTCAATATGTTGGTACATTAATGCTAATGGTAATTATTAATATTAAAAAAAAGTTACATACACTTACTTTATTTCGATTTGACCCAGGGATATAAAATTTTATTTCATTCTTCGATCATTTTATTCTAAATTGAGGTTTTACGTTTTTAAAATATTTTTTTTTGAAAACAAAACGTTTATACATTCTTGATTAATTTTTTTCTTAATTAAAAATAAAACTTGGCACTTGTTTCAATAATATTATTTGACATTTAAATAAATATTATGTACTTAATACACCATTTAAATCTTTATTACACGAAATAAATCTTTCTTAGCGTAAAACATGGTCAGAGTCAAGTTTGCTTTAACTTTGTACCATATGAAAAAAAAAACGGCGTCCAGTTGGCAGGGAAATGACGATCGACGACATTTCCGACGGTCGACGACATTTCCACATAAATTTACATATAAAATGACAGCGATCTTCATTTCATAGCCATCGCTGACGCCGTTTATTTTCGATCAAGAATTATAAAACTGAAAATATCATTATGTTTTAACTCACAAAGCCCGTTAAACCATAAAACTTTCTAGTATATTGTTTTATTACGAGTAAAAATGACACTTTTCGTGGCGAGACTGTAGGTTTGACATACAGCCGAAGCTAATAAAAAGTCATTTTACTCCGAATAGAACATGCTATTTTTTTCAAACGCCACAAATAATGTTTTAAACAATTTCAAACGTTCCAAATAATATAAAAATATTTAAAACTCATACCTTGTAAGTAATTATCATGATACAAAAAAAACCAGGTATGATATTGCGCAGGTTGGTCACCACGTCACAGATGATAAACGGCAATATTGGTCGGCAAGCTCCACGCGCCAATTTCAAATTTTCAAACAGATGACACATAATAATTGTGTATAATGTGTCATAACTTTTCAAATGTCCAGCTCGATGATTTTACATAACTTTAGGGGTTATTTAATTCTTCCCTATTTTAGGTCTTTTTTTATTAGTGGCAATTGAACAATACGGATATTTTGTTGTATGGCATATGACGTCACAGGCGATATGCGCAAACTGAACGAAATTGGAGACGCTATCGACCATACCTTGTTTTCAAGTTTTCTTTGTACCATGAGTAATTATATATCGAGAAACTATGGTTACGGCTCGTTGAATTTGAGACTTATGTCATTTTAATAATATATTTTCATACTTTTATGCTTAGGCGTAAAGTGCTTTACTTTTATGCCTAGGCGTTAAAATGACTTTTTTATATTGTCAATCACGTCGCAAAAATTAATACTTTTGTGACGTTTGAAAAAAAAATAATATTTTGAAACTAACTGGTATATTTTTCTGCCACAACAAAGTTATTATACAGTGATAAATGATAAGATCATATTGAAATACGCTACTGGGTAAAAAAAATTGGCTAAATTTTATCAATAATACTCCATTTCAAAAGTTATTTTCCAAAATAATTAATATTTTTTAATAATTGATTGCAATTAATATTATTTGACTAGTTTAATTTGATTAATTAATAAGACTAGATTAATTTCATTTAAAATAAATTTGATCAGATTTTTTTCGTATATTCAACTACCAGAAAAGTAGAAGGAAGATTATAATGTATCTATCACAATATTTAAAAGAACTACTACAATAATTATTAGAAGAAAAACAAAAAGAAAAAAATACCCAAATACCTTCACCTTCTACTCAACTACAAAATAAATGAATATAATCTCTTACAAGAACACTACACAAACTACTTCTTGTATTCTACACTAAACAAATTATCAAACTTATTAATTAATCAAACATAAAGAAAAATTAACCAAATTACCCCTTCACCTACTACTTAACTTCAAAATAAAATATAAAAACACTACTAAATTTCTTCTGGTAGTCTACACTAAACATTATAATCAAACTTAATAAATTAATCTAATTTTACATTACAACTACAAAGAAACAAGAAAATATTTTAAAACTACAAGAAATAAAACTTCGATACGTGCGACCAGTATAATAGATCAAGCGGACAAAGAATATAAAATACTTTAAAATGTGCATTCAGAAAGAAAAAATATCTCGAAAATTATCTAAACAAACATTTTTTTTTCTTATCAGTGAAAAACATCGACCTCGTCGGCCTTGCGGAATTTGTCGGGTATTTACAATGGTCGAATTGTATAATTACCAGCTTTTATAGCATATCTAATAGACAAAAAGTATCTGGTCGATTAGTAACCAATTGGCACAGTCCGAAAATTATCGATTTTTATTTTCTCTGTTTTTATTGGCCGCTTCAAAATTCAGAGTAACAAAAAATATTTTTCTCTAGTAAAAGACTGTGAAATACGCCCCGCCATCTGGTGCTTTACATCCATAAACGTCTTAGGTTGAGCTACTTTAAAAATTCATATACAAGGCTAATAGTTAATATTAATAATATACCGTATGATCGAAAAAAAACAGCGCAAAGTTGGCTTGGAAATGATAATCCGTAACATACTGCTTTTTGAACAAATGCACTTAAGTGTCACAATATGACATGGCCTATGGTTTTACCACTTGACGTTTTAAAGTCGTAGGCTACTGGTTAAAATCAAGAAAAATATACGCTTTAAAACTAAAACTTATATAACTTAAAAACAATTTATTTTAGGTATATAAGCATGTATAGTCAAAAAGTAACGAATTGAAAAACTTTTTTACTTTACTAGTGAAAAAGCCTCTTCTATTCGAAAAAAAATTCTATTTGAAAAAAATGATTTATGATTGATTGATTTTTTGATTTGATTTGATGAATTTTTTAATTGCTCAATTCCATGACAGCTGCAGTCATTATTATATGACACTCGAACAATTTAATTTTTGAAATAGATAGCCACATGTCTTCTCTTTATGGCACAGTGGCTGTGGTAATCACTAAATTTGACTTTTAGGCTATACACATATTTTTGACAGGCGGTTTTTTTCGTTCAAAAATTTTAAATATTTTTTTTCTCACAAAAACGGTTAATGTTAGATATAGAGTGTTTAATATCAAAATTCATAAAATTTTACAGATAATTTAAGTATGTAATAAAAAATGGGGGCACCCGTTTAAAATAAGAATTTCTGGAAGTGCCGCTATATTGAAAATATTTTCAATATATAGATCTCGTCGTGAAACAGTGATGTGCAAAAAATATCCGATCTATATAATATTGTAGTTCTCTAGAAACTTCTAATGCACGCTCAGCCTGGGACGCCCTGTAACAAAGGCAGTTCACAATAGTTTTTATTTTTTTTTTCAGACCAACAAAAGCTTTAATTACAATATCGCATAATTCAGATGATTATCATGAAAGTGATAATTGTAACAATGAAATTGCAAAGAGTGACATTTATGAATTCAATGATGATGAAGCGTCGAATGATATTGCACCATTAAGGAAAAAAGAAGATGACAGTGAAATGAACGACAGTGAAGTGAAAGATAAACTGAATTTGATTGAAACTGATACTGCCGTTGAGACTAACAGGAGCTGGCCTATAGAAAAAGTAATTATTATTATATACCTTATTAGTTTTATAATTTAGTTCATTGGGTGACGCATTTGCGACCAATATTACTGATTGAATTAAAGCAAAGTATAATGATCTATATATATATTAATTATTTATACAACACTTAAAATAATTGAGGTGCAGACTTTTAAATGCATTTTGTCCACTAGTAACATATCCATTCGTTCCGTCAGCAGATACGGCTTTATTTTTCTTCATAAAATAAAGAATACTTACTTATTAAACTATTGTGGGTAAATTTTAGTAAACTGTTTAAATAATAATATCCATAAACTAATGTCGATTTTGAAGATAGTTACTAACTGTCACTAGAAAATTGCCATGGCGATACCAGCCGACTTTTGATTGCCATTTTATTTAAAAATCATTTTTTATTCAAAATCTGAAATAGATAGGTATAGGAAACCCTAATATAGTTTGAAGGAGCATTTAAATCTGCTTCGATTAATTTAAAAAAATACAGGGTGTTGCATTTGAAATAACAAAGTTTTTATGTAAAATAAATCTTTAAAATGGATCACCAATTTTTGGTACCCCTGTATAAATTTAAGGAAGCAATGACATTTTTCAGTAAAGTTTATTTCTTTACCTTTAAACTCAGCACAAGAATTAATTCTGAAAAGTAATGTACAGGGTGTTAATAATCAATTCTTTTGCAGCGTGCATATTTAAATATCTTTAAATATCTCAAAAACAATAGATTTTAACGCAACGCGTTTTTTTCTTTCATGAGCTTTTCTGTGACTGAAAAGCCCAACACGTGATGTTATTTGTCTACCACACTCCGGACATTCAAAAATCTCATTGCTTTGTTGTCTCTTAACTTTTTGGTTCTTGCTGTTAACTGAGTTTACAATTCTTTTCCATTGAGTTCTATTGTGAGCTGCTACTTCCCACTAATTCTGCACGTTAATCCCCTTTAAGTTTTCGTGGACTTGTATCTTTTGAGTTGTCCACCTAGCCTCCTCTTACCGGCTACAAGCTCACCGTAAAGCAGTGATTTTGGTATGCGGTTTTCTTGCATTCTGCATATGTGACCAGCCCATCTTAAGCGGGATTTTGTAACCATGATTTCAATACTCTCACAGTTAGCTTTTTCAAGAACCGATACGTTTGAGACATGATGGAACCATTTGATTCTTAAGAGTTGTCTAAGGTGTCTCTGTTGCAACTTGTTTAATGCGTTCATGTGTCGGCGGTACGGCATTGGCACCCAGGTTTCGCTTCCATATAACATGGTGGGGATTATTATTGCTCGGTACACTGCAAGTTTCGTTTTTGTGCTTAGGTCATGGTTGTAGAAAACCCTGTCTTTTAATTTCCAGAATGCTCTTGAGGCACTGCTAATCCTGTGCTGAATTTCAGTGTCGATATTGGCCTTTTCCGAAATCAAACTGCCGAGATAATTGAATTCCGCTACATATTCCAGTAGTTCTCCGATTTTTATAGCATTGTTGTGATCTTCCGGGGGAGTGCACATGATTTTAGTTTTGTCGATGTTTAGCTTAAGGCCCAAAGCCTCGTATGCCCAGGTATATGTGTTCAACATTTCTTGTAATTGCTGTACAGTTTTTGCAACTAGAGCGCAGTCATCAGCGTATTGAAGTTCTGTGATGAATTTTGTACGTGTTTTTGCCCCCAACATAAAAAGATGTTGAACAGACCGCCTTCGTATCTGTATCTAATGCCCAATACTCTCTCCCGCAGTTTGCTGTCCACTATAATGGAGAGCGCTGCCATGAATATGTTGAATAGGAGAGAGGCGCTAAGACACATCCCTATATAACTCGTCTTGTTTGTTAGGCTTTTACACACTGTAAGAAATTTGTTGGGTACTCCGAACTTTGTCATAATTGCCCAAAGTGCATCTCTGTTCACAGAGTCGAAGGCTTTTGTTAAGTCGATGAATGCAACATAAAGTTTAGACGGCTGTTCTTTTACTTTTTCCTGTAGTTGGCGGATGGAAAATATGGAATCGACGGTGACGCGGTTAGTGCGAAAACCCGTTTGCGATTCTGGAAGGATTTTTTCTATATGTGGGTGCAGGCGGTTTGACATAATTTTTGCAAGAATTTTTCCTCCGATAGCCAAGAGTGAAATTCCCCGGCAGTTTCCGCAGTCTGATGCACTTCCTTTGTTCTTAAATATCTTCACTATTTTCAACCAAGGGTGGCATTGCAAACTACAACACAGAGTTACAATATTATGCCAGAAAGGACGTTCTAATTTCATTTTATACCATTCTAATTAAATTCGAAATACCTTAGACTTTCTATGTGCTGTATGTCCATTGGCGATAGATAAAGAAACAGAAGTATGCCCTTTTGTGCTGTGGACATACTGCTATTTGTTTGTCATTGCCAAATGAGGAGTGTTTTTTTTGTACTACAACTTCTCTATTTTTTTAATAATACTACTTAAAATAATGAGTGGAACTACGACTGGGAACCATGTAGTTGGGGATACGGACCGTGGTAGCAGAAAAATGAAGAAACATTTCAGGTCTAAATGACACTCAACAGTTTTTTGAATTTTTTTCAGATGTCATCAAAATTAGATTTTTCACATGTAGGTGTACTATTTTTATGGTTTTTTAATTATTTTTTTAAGTATACTAGTTTTTCGGTAAGTTTCTTGCAAAAAGCAGTTTTTCTTTGTTTGCCAAAATTCGAAAACATGGAGAAAATGCAACTAGAAAGTCTGCTCCTCAGGTGGTTCGATGTAGCTCGGCCGTTGCTAACGTGCTATACAAAATTAATTTAGAGCAAGTGAAAAATTAGAATTATAGTCTCTCCAACGAGAAGATCCTTGACAGTGATAGATGTGTCTGTCATTTTAATTTCAAAGTAGTTTATTTTATTTTACAAAGAAATAAGTTGGTACAACTGGAACGCATAGCAGGAAATTATTATATTTAAAATTTGACTGACAAGTGATTACTTCAAAATATTGTGAAAAAACTGTATAAAACTGAAAAAATGTAATCGAGTTATTTAATTTAATAAAAAACGGTATGTGTTATGGATACAATACAAAACAAACAAGAACAAGACACCACATACCAAAAAAATATAAAAAAGAACTATTTCTTACTTATTTTCGTTCAAGCTTTAGGAAACTTCCCGCATTTATGATTATATTTATCAATATAATTTATGTACAAATACAAATTTGTAATATTCCGCAGGAATAAATAAAACACCATAAATAAAACAAACTATTTTATTATTAATAACACTTACCAGATTTTATAGGTACCTTAAAGGTTGATAATTAACTTTAATCTTAATTTTTTTAAACCAGTACCTTTGGCATTATATTTCTTGTGCAGTACTAAAATCCATTATTTACCTATCGTGTGATGTCGATATTTTACAACTAATTCAAATTTTAAGTACGTGTTTAGTATGGTCCTTCTACCATATTCGAGATGCACTTATCTACGACGAGATGGTATACGAATTTTAAAGATGGTAACTTTATTGGTGTATAAGACTTTTTACCTGGGCAGCGAGTATTAACCATAAACTGTGCTCTGGGTCTACAGTTAATTTTCACTCGATTTTTCCTCCACTTGACTTCCAAAGACACAAAACACACGTAATAACACGAATCAAAATGCATCATCTTCGAAAATGCAGGGTATTTGACAAAACTGACAAAAGTTGACACAAAATTATAACCTCTAATTTGGCAAGACTTTGACAAGCGTCAAAAATCTAAAGGCGAGTTCATATGCATCGGCGTCCGTTTGTCGTTCATCGTTCCGGCAAACCAATAAAATTGAAATACGATCTGTCATTTTTGAAATAAACCAATAAAACTGGTTAAAAACAACAAGAGACGACGCATGACGGATTTATATTTAAACCCATCCATAGTTAACTTAAAAATTATTAGAAACTTTTTTTAGTAAAATAAATTGATTGGTATGGGACGTCATCTGCTTTTCTTCTGTCATCGTCTGTCGAAATCTTACCTGAGAAAAAAAACAGAGTATAGTTATTAGTGCAACAAAATTGCAACATGGAATTTACATTTAGCAGAAAATATTGTATTTACGTGTACTTAGTAACTTCTGGGAGAAACAAAACATAAATTACTTAGCCACACAAAAAATAAAAAGTGGTCTAGCTTTTTACTAGACCATCATATCCCATAGTATTTTTCGACGCTGAGCACGAATCCGCCATCACATCTCAATTTTTTTTCTAACTTCAAAAACTTGGTGAAAATCCGTAAAAATTTAGAAAAATGTAGTAGGAAAAAATATGTTTTTCTCTCTCATGTATAACACTATAATTTAATGTAAATGGGCTACCATGTCTCATATTTTTTCTAACCTCAAAAAACCTACCACAAGTCATGATTTTCGAAAATCGCACGGATCTTAACCAAAATCGGTATAGAGGTTTTTTTTGGGTCGTTGATAATGAATCTGACGTCGGATTGGTAGAATTCAAAATGGCGGATCAAATATGGCCGACGCAAAATTTAAAAAACCATGGATCCAAATAAAATCTATATATCGGAATTTTTTTCAGATTCGCGATCAGCGACCCAAAAAACTCCCATGTACTGATTTTGTTCGGATCCATTTTTTTTGAAATTGGCTTTGGCCATATTTGATCCGTCACACAGTGGGGTATTTGACACTGATAGTTGATCGAAATTTTTTTATGTAGACCTTATATAAATTATTGCTATTTTCAGTTAAAGAGGAAATAATATGAACAAAATTAAGGATAATTCGTCGATTCTAAAAAAAGAAAGAAAAATCACTGTTCCAGTGTTTCCACGGTCAGTGCCAGTAGTAATATCGCAACTACTATACTAATGCTACGACTGATCCGCGAGCAATGCCCATACCACTAAAGCCGCTACTAATGCCAAATTGTGCTATACTGCTAATGGCACTAATGCGATCGCTTTGTACACAACAATGCCATCGCGGTTTACACCTCGCATTAGTATATCACTGATTGGCAAATTGGAGGAAACCAAGAATGTTTTTCTCATTTTATCAGCAAAATCGCAAAAAGTCGCAGTATTTTATTTTACTGTATGAAAGCCCAATGTTTACTAAGTAAAACGTATATAGACAATATGCTGAATTCTTCGAAATGCGCAACTAAATCTCTAAGTATAATAAAAATGTCACAAATTTAATCCAATTTTCTGAACGCCTAACTTTTAGTTGCAAAAAAATCGTTAGTATAGAGAATATCAAAATAAATAATACGTTTTTGTAGAATACATACCTGCAACTTGCTGAGCCATTTTCAATCAAAACGATAATATAAACGTAAAAAGAGCACAAGAACAACAACCATTTATAATTTTAAACATAAAATTTAGCCATTTACCTCTTATCTGTGAGAAGTAACAACTTTGACGTTTCGTTGAAACAAATGAATGCAACTAAACACACCCATAGCAACGCCATTCATGGCAGAGATGATTTAACTTATCATTTGTCTTTTTTTAGGAAATCTTAAACACATTTGCTTTTTCGAATTTCGATCACCTTTTTCATGCTAATACCCCACCGTGCGTCATTTTGAATTCTGCCAATCCGACTCCGACTAGTCATGGGTAACCCTCTAATTTTTCGTGTGTTGATACAGTAACACTGACGTCTTTTCCGGTATCAACACCAAACCAAACCAAACAGCACAAAAGTGCCATACAACACAGTGTTACACATGGCTAAATCCGACGTCAGATTCATGATCAACGGCCAAAAAACCCTCTATACCGATTTTGGTTAAGATCCGTGCGATTTTCGAAAATCATGACTTTTGGTAGGTTTTTTGAGGTTAGAAAAAATATGAGACATGGTAGCTCAGTTCTGTTAGGTGTTTTGAGTTTATCAGGCCCATTTATATTAGGTTATAGTACGTGTTAGTTGAGATTTTTTTAATTTTTTTCTATTACATTTTCTTGAATTTTTACGGATTTTCACCAAGTTTTTGAGGTTAGAAAAAAAAAGGAGATGTGATGGCATAATTCTGATAGCGGATTCGTGTTCAGCCTCGAAAAATACTATAGGATATGATGGTCTGGTAAAAAGCATAGACCACTTTTTATTTTTTTGTAAGATTTACACGTATCCAGTAGCTGGCGCTACACTGGAATATTTTTCATATCTACGAAATAATAATTAGGAAAATCAACCCTTATAGATTACTTTAATTTAACTGAATCTTTGTTGGTAGAGTTATAACAATAAAATCTTATTGATGGGACGCGTCGTCTAATTTTTTACGAAAAATGTCGAGAGAATATCGTTTCCCCTCTCACGGATACCCCGTAGATATAGAACGGACAGACGTACTGTAATAGATAACCTCACAACTGACAAAGCTTTCAACTAACTGAACTCGTATAGCAAAATAAAAACACTAAATCACCACAATACACCAAAACACTTTTACTTTTACACTGGACGCGCGTTTCCCTAACCATGTTAGCATCATCAGCAGATGATTATAAACTAAGTAAGTAACACAGTTTATAATCATCTGCTGATGATGCTAACATGGTTAGCGAAACGCGCGTCCAGTGTAAAAGTAAAAGTGTTTTGGTGTATTGTGGTGATTTAGTGTTTTTATTTTGCTGTGTAACACCAAAGGTTCCAACCCTCAACTGTAATGAACTCGTATAAACAACCTGAGCCAGTTCTGCCCGAGTCAAGAGCTGGCGTACCAGTGAAACTGGCATCATCTACTATAAATGTGTAACCGACATAGTCCTGCCTTAACATATTAATTATTGTTTATTTTTTTATAGTTCTTTCCATTTTTGATGTTTGAAAGATTATTTTAAAAAATAGTTTATTAATACATATAGAAATTTTAAAACATTTTCCGATGCATGTCATCAATCACATCGAAATTGACACTAAAGCCTATAAACCTGAGTAAATGAAATTTTAGCAAAAATGTTTAAATTTCATTATACTTTATAGAGCAAATGATTGTAACTGATATTTTATTTAGATTAAAGCTGCAAAAATTAGTTTAAACCGATTTTTATTATCGCCTTGTTGGTCATATTGCGCCATGTTCAGTAATGTTGTCGTGTATTATTTGACAATTATTATCCTAGTGTCAGTCATTATTTTGTATAATATCGTGTTGTTGAATTTTTGGGAGTAGTTCTCGTTTTTTGCCATTTTTCATAGTTTTTTTTCTTAAATTGTACTTCTAAGCACAAACAGTTCTTTTAAGAACTAAATTTTCGAGATTTTTTACTGCATTTTTTGAAATTATGGATTGAAAATATGCCGAAGCCTTTAAACAGTCGAAGCAAAGCGCTTGTAGCTTCCCTGATAAAATATTTTGAGCGCGAACGTGACAATAAAGGTCCTTTATTATCCTTGAATGCAGTCAGAGAAGTAAGATCGATTGGTAAGCACATTATACCACTTTCAAGTTATTTCTACTTATTTCAATTTGTAGCGAGTAGCTGCTGCCTTAAAAAAATATATAAAAATTATATACTAAATATATTGTTTGTCACTTTTAAATTAAGATTCATCTCATAAATACATCACAATCTGGCAGCGCTGTCGCCATCGCTTGTCATTCAAAGTTGTTGACGTGCATCGGAAAATGTTCTAAAATTTCTATAGGTGACTTTAACTGGTGGCTTCGTTTTATTATTTCCTCTACTATTTTTACCATACAGGTCTACATTTTTAAGTATCCTATTATAATTTCTGTTGTGTAATGTAATAGTAGCAAATTAGTCTATCCAACGAGAGAAGGGCCGATTTCGACAGACGACATCCAAATATTGACAGAAAAAGCAACTTGTGAATTGAAATCACAGCTGTCACTGTTCTGCATTTCCTCGCTGTATAGACCATACACAAATCTACAATACAACAAAAAACATTAGTTTTAACTATCTGCTTATGATGCTAACATTTTTAGCGGGACGTGTGTACAGAGTTTAAATAATTATTGTTTTTGTGTATATAATTTTCTATTGTCATTAAAGACTTTAATCTGGTTTGTATTTGTAGCTTAATAGTATTTTGCAACCACCGAATTGTGTTCAAAATGAAGAAAAGACACCAGAAAAAGGCGGCGGGAGACTGAAACTAACGTTAAGAATGAAGAGAAGCCCAGTTTTAGATGAGGTCATTGAATCGGGTAATAGTCTTAGCGAAGATTACTTCGAGCCTGAATATGAAGTTTTGAGAGTTGAAGGAGTGGAAGGAGAAGAGTCCGTTTGTACACCTTATTCCCACAGGAAAAAACGACACAAATCAAAGGACAGAAAACGAGAACGGCGAATAAAGGTAATCTTTATAAGATAATAGCGCAGTTCAATACTGCAAACATGAGCTATGTGAGCAAAAAAAAAGTTTCTACCACTAAGGCTGAAAATGTTTGTACCATTGGGACTCTCCGACGTATACTAAAATATTCTATATAAATATACTCTTTCTATCTAGTGATCTCATTTTTGTAAAAGTGTTTTTTTAATACAATATTTGGGCCTTATAAAATTTAGCAGACTTTTTGAATTACTCTATAGCATTTTTCAAATCTTCTTTTATTTTTTTTAACGCACTGGCTAAACAAAATTCGCCAGCGGTATTATTAGTGTATACAAAAACATACTGTCATCCGGCGGTATGATATTTCTATATCTGCAAATGCTGATGGAAAATTGAATTAATTTGTTATTGCCGGCGGCATGAACTTAATTCACATACAAAAGCTGATCAACGGTAGCATACTATATTTTAATATCGCAGAAATGATAACATCCTAATATCTTTGAATACCTTTGTATTTTCATTTTTTGATCTTTGATATTTGATAATTATTGTAAAAAATATATTTTTTTAATTACGATATACGGTAATTGATGTTGAAATTAATTGTAACTGGACTAAGAGCCAAGATTACAATTTTTTAGCAGATAACGGCGGATAATTCTACAGGTACCCAGCACAGCGCTTCCTCTAGCAGATGGGAGACCATGTCGTTTGTGGGGAAGCTCCTGGTCGGGTGCTAGGGGGAATCCCCTTTGGCACTTCGGCTGGGTCTAAGGAGCATCTCATTGTGTTGTCCTTGGCTGTAGTGCCGTGGCCAGGGAATTGCAACAACAGACGTGATTTCGCTGTTCTCCCATGAAGAAGTATTTACAGCCGCCTGCAAGCTTAAAAATCGGAAAGCACCTGGTCTGGACACCATCCCGATAGAAATTATTAAAATCGCTTCCATGCACGATACGTCCTCCGTGGCTGAAGTCATGAATAAATGCCTTATGCCTGGCCAATTCCCAAAACCTTGGTAAGTTGCAAAGCTGGTCCTGATAGAAAAACCGAAGAAGGAAAACGACCATACCAAAAAATATAGACCAGCCTGTTTACTCAAATCCAGCGGAAAGTTACGGGAATGCCTATTAAGAGATAGACTGGAATCAGAACTAGAAGAAGGCAACAAACTTCACCCTAAATAATTCGGCTTTAGGAAAGGTCCACCATTGACGCGTTAAACATGGTGGTCAACAAAGTAGACCAAATTAAAACCAAGACTTACCGACATTACTTACATAGAGGATTTTTGGCATTACTCACCCTTGCTATAAGGAACGCTTTCAACTCGGCTCTATGGCTGGGCATTGCAACTCAACTAGAACATAAGGGAATTAGCCCATACATTGTATGCATGGTACAGCCGTTCCTGTCACATAGATATGTCATCACAGAGTACGGCGGGAAACACAGAATGACGTGCGGACTCCCTCAAAGTTCGACCCTCGGACCCACCCTCTGGAATATATTTTACGATCAGATACTTAGAACCGATACGGACCTGGGCAAGACGATCTTAGCATATGCGGACGACCTAGCCCTCTTAATAACTGCCTCCACTTACACTATCCTTGAAGAAAAAATTCAGACGGCTAACGATTAAAAATAAGTTGGAAAGCATGGGCGTCAAACTGGCCCCAGAAAAAACTGAGCTGATCGTTCTCTCAAGGTAAAGGATCTAAGCATAAAGTTGGATAATTTAGCTATAAAACTCAAAAGAAGGTTAAATAGGTGGGGGTTTGATTCGACTCGGGCATGCGAATAACCTCACACGTCACAGAAATCAGGAACAAAACGACTGGCATCATCCAGCATCTGACGAGAATAACTCCCAATATCGGAGTACCTCCGCGCGGAAAAAAGACGGCTTCTGGCTTCGGTAGTTCATTCGACCATACGCTACGTGTCGCCGATCTGGGACAGATCCATGTGCTTCAAGCATTACGAAAACATGATAGAAAGGATAAATAGGAAGTTAGCACTCAGGGTTGCATTGGTATACTGCACATGTCCAACAGTAGCGGTACTGTGTCTTGCTAAGATACCTCCGATCAGTCTACCGATCCAGGAAGGAAACCCTAAATTTAAAAATGGAACTTCCTTCCCGAAAGAGGTCAGAAACATTGTACTAGAGCAATGGCAGACACGATGGGAAGCATATAGCAGGTGGACAAAGACTTTCATACCTAATATCAAAGATTGGATAAAATGTGATCAGGCAAACACGATAATGATAACATGGATAAAATGTCATCAGACTACTACATCACTATTACACATCACAATCTATTATTATTTACCTATCATGTGATGTCTTTATATTACAGCTACTTCAGTTTTTCGTACCATATACGAGAGGGTATACAAACGTTATTGGTGGTTAATATAACTCTCTAGGTAGTGAATATTAGTGAATATTAACTATAAACTGTGTTCTGGATCTACACTTTCTTTTCCCTCAATTTTTCCTCCACTTAAAAAACGCAAAACATACGTAATAACAAATCAAAATGCAAAAGCAATTTGTAAGTATTTATCATTTTCCAGAACGTTGGTTATATGACATTATTTGACCCAAATAACCTATAATTTGGCAAGAGCTTGACATGTCTCATAAATCTTAAGTGGAGTTCATACGCATCTGCGTCCTTGCGTCGTTTATCGTTCTGTCACTCCAATTATATTGAAATATGATCTGCCATTTTTGAAATAAACTAATAAGACCAATAAACCCGTCTATAGTTAACTTAAAAAATATTAGAATCTTTTTTAGTATAATAAATGGATTGGTAAGGATGCCATCTCCCTTTTTTGTCATCTTCTGTCGAAATCTTCCCTGAGTCGTAAAACAGAGTAAAATCCCGGCACTTAAACAGTAACACATAAAAATTGGTAAAATAAGGGTAGTTTTTTAAAATGGGTACTGCTGAAAGGTGGTATTCTTTTTATATTTAGCAATAACCGCCGTACTTGAAAAATTAACCTCGTTGTTCATGGTAATAAATATGTGGAACGGGCTAACGGCGGTCTTTTTTTTGTCAATTGTCTATATCGCCGGCGGTAATTTAGCCAGTTTGCTTTTTTTAATTATGATATATTCCCCAGATGTGTTTGTAGGGCTATCAAATGCTTTTTTCACTGTGTGTCTCATTGATAATGTTATTTAAAAGTTAATTTTAAGTTATTCAAATTTTAAATTGCGTACATATTCATACAATGTCCGTCACTATTAGACATCTTTTATAATATAGAGTATTTTTATTATTTATACTTAAATTATATATTAAAAATTATTAGCACTCAAAGGAGGATGAAGAACTACCACAACTGCCCATGAAGAGACTACGACTGATTTTTGGTAACGAGAGCCATACGATTGACATACCGTCCACTAGTTCAAACTGCGAGACATGATGTTCAGTTTTTGCTGTATTTAATGACATCGGAGAACTGGAACTTTTTTGGAATGGTTCTATTTTTTCTGCTGATTAAAAATATTACAATTTCTTTAAAACGTCTAAAAATACTTGTTTTTACGTCATATATAAATCAAACCTACGTCATTCTTTTTATACATATATAATGACTACAAGTCTAATTTGTAGCCATTTGTATTCAATGTAATATAATCTATTTTTTTCTATTCTGTTTTCTTAATTTTATGATTGTTATTTAAATATACAATATAGGTGGCAACCCCTAATGTTATTTGCTGATTGTAATCATTTTATAGCTCGACAGCCACAGGTGTATAAATTTTGTTTAAACTATTGGTGTTTCTAAACGGTCTTATATAAAAAAGTAAGCTTTGAATTTTTTCAAACAAATTATAAACTTTCCTTTTAAATGTATTTGTTTTTTAGCAGTATTATTTATTTGTTTTAAATATTTTACAGACATTTTTTAACAATTCTTCCCCAAGTACATACATTGTATTTAATCCTAAAAATGTGATACAGAAATTATATAATACTTAAGGCTCACATAAAACAAACCTGATTGCCTGAAAAAAATAGTGGAATGAATTAAGTTTGTTTTATGCGATTTTGTAACATAGTTTTTGTTTAGGTAATTATATTTTACATAGGCAAAGCAAATAATGTTGCTGAAGTTGATGAAAAATTATATGCTAAAAAGTTATCAGAACTAACCAACTTAAATGTTTTCCTTTATATGTATAATGTGCTCTTAAGGGCACTAATAGGGCACTAGTTTAGTGCCCTATTTGAGTTTTCCTCTATTTTTTTAACAAAAACGAAGACAATAGTTGCACATATTTTTATAAATATACACGGTGCTCAAATATTATATACATTAAAGTTGTCATTTTTAAAATGTAATGTATATATTTTTGTTGGTGGATTTATAAAATGTCTATTCTCAAAACACCATATTGAAGTAATTTAATAGCATTGTATAAGGAAACCGAGTAGTTACACTCTTAGAAATATTTTCTGCTAGCCGACAAAATTCGGCAGATTGTTGACTCAGCCTGCGAAGTAGGTTCGAGCGTTGCGCGTCAGCATAGGATTGACAAGAATGAGTGCTTTACTGTGTGTTGCTATTGGGTGTCTTAATACCTGTAAAAAAATGCGCATTGCGTTTCTTTAGATATCCATCGGAAGCTAATAATAATTTATCAATAAACATTTAAACTTGTTTATTTTACAAGCTGAGATATACCGGATGCGTCTCAAAAGTGGCTCACCCCTATAACTTTTTTATTTTTTCAGTTAAAAGAACGAGATTTGGTATGTTAGTATATGACATAAATTAGGATTGATTGACGTATTCAATTGTTTTCGGTCACTTCTTGTTTCACAGGAAATGACTACAACTTTTGATTTCTAAATGGCAACCTTCGGTATTTTTTTACTTTATTCGATAGAAAATAACACTCTGAATAGAATGACATATCATATGTCAACTTTTGACATTTTCGCATGTGGTTTATTTTAAATTATAACTTGGCGGTTCGTAACGAAAATTTGACTCGAAATGCCAAGTATGTGGCATCAAATTATTCGTAAAAAAATGCTTTTTCCAAATATGCTAATGAGCCACTCTCGATCCATTTCAAAAAACTGAGATATGATTAAAAATACGATTTGGGCATTTTCTAACTGGCCAGGACAAGACACTAAAAACATTAGACTATCAAATCTATTTTTCCAAGGCTCCTTGATTAAGAATTAATGTTTTTAACATAGCCCAGGCACTCTAGATTGAATTTTAAAATACGATTTTTTATTAAGCGAGAATGTCAAATGTTGACATATGATATGTCATTCTATTCAGAATGTCATTTTCTATCGAATAAAGTTAAAAAATACAGAAGATGCCATTTAAAAATCAAAAGTTGTAGTCATTTCCGGTGAAGCAGGAAGTGACCAAAAAAATTGAATATTAATTAATGTCATATACTAACATACCAAATCTCGTTTTTATATCTCAAAAGATAAAAAAGTTATAGGGGTGAGCGACTTTTGAGACGCACCCGGTATAATCAATGGTAAGGCGCGTTTTCAAAATAGTTTAATAGATATACAGGGTGTCTCAAATATGTGTATGGAAATATTTTTCGCTCAGGAGATTTGCTATAAAATGTGCTATTCCAAAACAATTGAGATTGAGTGGTTTTTGAAACAATTTTACAGTAAATATTTTGCACATTAAAGCTTCTGCAAATTATTGATATTTTTTAATTGAAAACACGGAGGAATAAGAGGGGAGAGACGTTACTATACGTATTTCTGTAGGATAAAAACGGTTTCAGTTTCGTTGTTTGGACTGAGCAAAAGGAGACCAAATGGACAGGACCGGATTAGGTAAAACTTCAAATAATAAAAGCAAACAATGATTAAAACTTGGCTTGAACTAATGTAATATCATTGTGTAATATTAATCGTGTGTATCGCAATGAACAAATTACTTGGCATTACTACACCAAACTTAAAATAGTCAGAAAATACTAATTAATGTTCATTCGTTAATTCGGTCATTACGAACCTGTACACTGTTTTGTTAGGCCGTGGCCCAACATAGCTGCACGCGTAAAGCGGAGCGGACAATACAAAAGTACGTGCCAATCCGCACCTGTTTATGGGCCCCCTTCCATTTACTTAAATGCATTTAAACGATTCGCGGTCCTCTCCGCTCTCCGCTATGCTAGGTTGTACGCCTCATGTGGGGCCACGCACTTAGCTGTGAAATGTTATCCGGTGAGTTTTTTCGAGTCGATATCTTTCTTGCTCCTACAGCTGCGTACAGCACACGACACCATGGTTCTTAATGTTCTTGTAATAGAAAACAGTCAAATTATCGATGAAAAACATTACATTTTGGGAAAAATGCACAAATTACAAAAAGAGACCAAAATCAAATATGGCTGCGACTGGCTGATACCGTTTCTGCAACAGCTGTAGCTCTTTCCCTCTCTTATTCCTCCGTGAATGAAAGGATTTTATAATAGTATAATCTCTTGTAATTAATTGTGGACTATTTTTTGATGTTTATTTCTCTATTATAAATGGTCATAATTAGGGAATGTAATCCCGCAAATGCGGGATCCCTCTCGGATTCCGCGGGATTTACCGTGCGGGATCTGCGGGATCGACACATTACTACTGGGTAACCGAATCGAACTCAATCAAGATCAAACCCCTTCGTTCCGGGCCGATGCGTCGACGCTCGGAACCCGAGGGATTCCCCTTACGGCTTGGCCATTAAAAATAAGTGAAACAAACAGGTTAGTTGTTAGATTTCTTTCTGGCGTATGTGATGTGAAGAAAAGCGTTTAACTAGTACTTGTGGACAATTTCGTCAAATAAACCGCCGGACATAATTATCGGGACAAGCAAAATTTTAGGGTAAATTTAAAGTTGAATATCTCTTGAACTAGAAAAGATTTTTGGATGCGGTTTGGACCAGGTTTTAGATGCATATATTGTGATTAAGATGCTATGTGGTTTTCGAAAATATATTTAGTGAATTCTCGTATATAGGGTGTTTTATAAGAGTGTGAAAATTTGGCCAAGAATCTTTTTTACCGCAAATTTACAATTTTTAAAAAATCGAAATTTTTACCAAGTACTACTAATCTGTATTGAAATTAGAAAAAATAATTTGATCGGTTTTTAATTTTTTTTTGTTTTAAGGAAAATACGACGTTTTTTCGAAAAATATGCATTTTTAGTCATATGTATAGTCCTAAAGGGTACAAAAAGCTTTGTACATTCTGCATATGCTAAAAAATTATTCATATAGAGTGTACCTAGAAGCAGATAACTAACATAAGTTAAAAAAACTTCAACATCAGAATATTTTTATTTATAAATTTAAGTTTATTTACTATTAAATATATTTTTTGAACACTCTGTATACATCGGTCCAAATTTCTGTACAGCTAGTTTAAGATAACCTAACCTAACCAAACTATATCAATATATTATGGGCCTATGCAAAATGTACAATGCCTTTTGCACCATTTAGGACCAAATGTGTGACTATTGTTTAGTCCCGCAATTTTGCGGATCCGCGGGATTGATTGCTTTAATCCCGTGGGTTTACGGGATTGAGATTTTGGTGTGGGATTGCATTCCCTAGTCGTCATATAACAATATTCAAAAAATAATAGTAAACATAAATTCTTGGTTGTTCGAAAGACGAAGACGGAATCCTTTTCAGTGCCGCTGTCGCCGCAACCGTTAAATTTATTTTAAAGAGAATATCAGAATAATATACTGGTTGTTTGGTTTGAAATAAAAGAGTAACTTGCTTTTAAAAGCGACCAATAATCAATATTAATTTTCTCTTCCCTTTGTAACTTTAAAAAACGAAGAAAAAATAATATGGTCTATTTTCAAAATAATAACAAATATCAGTTCTGGGTGTAGCAAATGTCCAACAAAACATAAAACTGTATGAATATTGTGTTGATTTATATATTATACAGGGTGTTTCACTTCAAATACCACACCTAGTTTTCTTTTAAATCACTATAGCGTATTTTATTATGATTAGTTTTAAAACGGGCACTGTTACCAAATAATTAAAATTATCAAATGTCTATAATCTGCGGTTTTATAATCTCCATAGGGTTTTAATGTGTAGATGTTTAGTGTATAAATGTTTCAAAGATTAACTTGCTATAGATCATGACATTATGTTATCTTCAGAATGAAAATTTTATGAGAAATCTACTCAGCGGATAACATATACAGCATTCCAACAAAAGTAACATTTTTGTGTGAAGATATTTTTTTGTAGCTATGTAGGTATAAAAATATATTAGAAATATGCATTGCCATTGTTTCCATTTCTATAAAAAAAGACGCCAGAAAGAAATCATTTTATATGTAAAATTATATGGGAAATGTCATCGATCGTCCTTTCCAAGCCAACCGGACGCCGTTTTTTAGATCATACGGTATTTTTGCCGCATTTCTTTCCATCCTTCAGATACAAACGAACCCTTACTTAACGAAAGTTAAAAATATTCTGTTTTCAAGTAATTTTTTACCTGATGATCAAACAATTTTTTATTTTATTTGAACACGTATTGCGTGACTGGCTACACTTTGCCTATAACACAATTCGATTATACCCGTCAGTAACACTCAATAGATCTGTAAAGTCGCGGCGATTAACCCCCCATCCTAAACATTCTATACCCGTCAGTGGTCATCCGACGCGAGGACCAGGTGTTCATATAATATAGGACAAATAGAACAAAGGATTTGACGACGTAAAGCTACTAAGTTTTCTTATACTATGCTACTAGTCTATTGTAATAACAGTAGAGTTTTATCAAAGCTACTAAATTATTTATTGTCTAGCATTTTACCGTTGAAGGATCTATCGTACTTAGAACGAAAGTAGCACAACTTATAAATTCGTGAGCTTTACTTTTTGTTATTAAACTACATCATTTAACGTAGGCTATCGATTATATTGTTAAATATTAATAATACTGTATTATATTATTAGATATTGTTAATTATTATGTTTTAACTTGCAATCGATAGAGGACGTTAAATTATGTAGTTTTATTCCAAAAAGTAAAAACACGAAATTTTCAGTTATGTCACTTTCGTTCTGAGGATGCGATAAGCAATACAATACCGCGAATATTTGTGAAACCGTTTATAAAATATTCATTCTGTATCTAAAAGAAAAATAATATGCAGGGTGTTACTTTTTATAAAAATTCAGATATAGGATTTTAAATATTGCGACGCAATAACGAAAATACCCTATATAAGACAATTTAATTTTTTCTTGGATTTATTCTGTTATCCTTGGTGTTTATGTAGCTAAGTATTAATAAAATCACTTAATAAAATCACTCCAATTTTTAACCACTTTTCGGATATAATATATTTTTAACCAAGGTTTCAGTAAATATGTACAGGGTGAGTCAATGATAGAGTAAAGTCCATTATCTCATTTGTTTCGAGGTTTACAAAAAAATATTAAATATAAAAGTTATAGAGATGGTTAAGATACACATTTTAAAATTATTATACAGTATACAGGGTGCTTCAAAAAAGTGTGGCGAATATAACATATGTTTTTTTAAACGTAACACCCTATTTTTTATTTTATTTTTAGATTCTGCGTAAAATTCCATAACTTTTTTATGTATAATGTTATATACCTAAAATTAATAGTTTTTGTTATATTTAAATTTGTTTACACAAATGTTAGATTGCAGTGGGTTAAAA